TGGGGTGCAGATGGGGGGGCGTGGCCGGAGGTCCTGGCCAAATGCATGGCAAAATCAAAGGAACATTTCAGCAGCAAGTCAGAGAACATTGTTGGCCGGCACTTAAAAGTCCATTAATGGCATTAAGTGGACATTGTGCGGAGCTCTTCGAAGCACATTTGCTGCACAATGTTTGCAAATCGAACGAGGGGACTAAGCTAGTTTCTCCTCAGCCCAAAACCAATCGATGCTTAAATATATTTTTACCCCAGGTTTTTGGTAGCAGATTTTCCCATTTAAGAGTCAAACCAAACATAATTTTGATGGGCGGCTCACGTTGTGCCGGGGATTTGCATGACAGGCAACACCAAAATCTGACAATAGCTGCGAAATTTCAATGGCTGGAAAAGTCCCCAGCTTGGAGTCCCCGTTCCCGGTCCCCAATCCCGTTCCCTTTCCCGGGATTGGGTTTGGTTGTTCGATTTTGTGCCGTCGGCTTTGAATTCACGGCTCTGGCCGGGAATAAAACGCACGAATGCCCCGCCATCGCAGCCGCGCGGCGCAAAACAAAAATGACAATGGCAGACAACAAATTTTTGCAATTCCCAACAGCACTTCAACTTCCGGCTGCCATTTTTTCCGGCCACGCCCCCCCTTCCCCCAAACCGCCTATGCCTCTGGCCGCCCACAAGTTGACAAAAGTTGTGCAGCAGCCATTGAAAATGTGACTCCATTTGAGATTTGCCAGGCCAAAACAACAAATGCAAGGGATTGAAGTTGGATATGATGGACTTTTTGATACCCACATTTGTTGAGTTAACTTTATTAATAAAAATAAATTTTAGAACAATTTATAGATGAAAAATAGATATAGACAAATGTTTATACATCGTAAATTTCTAGAATTGATTTAATGTAAAATATCATAAATATCATGTGAATATATCATAGATCATACTTAAAACAAATACATACATTTGGAGTTTTTTTTTAAAGTAAATATTATTAGATATATATAAAAATTACTTTTTTAAGAACCCTTTTTTTATATATTACTCTTACGTCTTACTGTTAAGATATGTTAAATTGCAAGCTTATATTTTTTATGCTGGCTGAACAACAAATGTTACATGCGTTATGCATTTTTATATGCACAGGGGATGGTATTACAATATTTGTAAAATTTATATTACCCAAAAAAAACAGAAGGAGATATATTGCATATGAATGGAATACTCCCATTCCACCCTGTAAAATCTAACACCCTCTCAGTGCTGTGCATAAAAAACAGAAATTTATTTTATGTTTGAAACATTTTAGATCCCGTCGAGTAATGGCCGTTGCACTTTTAAAGCGCCTGAAAACTGTTAGATACCTCCAACCTCCGCAGCCACATCCGCACTCGCATCCGCATCGAGATCCGCATGTAGTGCCGCAATCAACTTGCAATCGAATGCAATCTGATGTGCTGATGTGTGGAGTGCAGTGGGTGGGGTTTTCGGGCGATGGCATTGAGTGACTTGTTCCCTGGAAAGCAGCCCCTTTCCACCTCCTTGAATGACATCCGCATTGCATTTGCATTTCGCAGAGCTCTCAATCAAATGTCTGGAACAAAGTGCTGTGCTGTTGGGAAAAGTTGTTCAGCTCTCCCAAGTACCAAGTACCGAGTACCAAGTAACCAAGAACCGAGTTCTGGGACTCCTCCACTCGAAACGAAGACTTGATGGAGTTGCAGAACCCGAATGGCGGCGCCCTAGATGGACACAAATTGGAACCAGAGCACGTCCAGCGTTTGACCATCAATCAAATCTTGATAAGGAGCAAATTCAATTTTGACAAATCACAAATAGGCTTTTGTAAACTCAAATTAATGGCAATTGCAGGCGACTGCCTGACGTAATTAAACACACAGAACAGAGCACAAATGTGCATTTCGACAGGACAATGTGTGCTTGTATTTAAACAGGGCTACTACTTAATTACTTTGGGACAAGTCATTTGCTTAGGGCCGTATAAATATGGCCTGGGGAGTTCCTAATTTAACATACGAATGTTCCATATATATAACCTATATATAACCTAACCTAAACCTAAATTTGTGCTCTCATGCTCGAATAAAATAAAAATACATATTGCATTATGGTAAACCAAATAAGAGAGAAAAAAATCATTGCGGCTTAATGCAAGGGACCACGGTCATAAAAATATATGACTATAAATGCAAGTGCAATATTTGCTGGCTGTGTAAATATTTACTGCAATTTTCTTTTGATTTATTTGAGTGGAACTAATTGTGGGCGTTGAACTGCAAAAAAACCGAAATAAATCATAAATTTGCCACAGACCGATAAAGATTTGCGATAAAAAACAAGAACATGAGTGGGCTATATGTACGTATTTACATTGGCATTGTCATATTGAACTTTCGCTTTGTGCGACTGACACTGAGTGGAAATTATTTAATTAAACTATCATCAGATAAATTGAAACAGACAACTCGACCACCTCCAACTGAATGGCAAACTGACTGACCGAAAAGCAAGAGCTTCGTGTCTATGAAAAATTAATTTCGGTATTTGTTCGCTGGCAAGGAAGATACATTTGCGTGTTTGCGGGCAATTTGTTTTAGGGAAAACAAAGAAAGCGACACAAATTTAACACTTACCAAAGTCACAAGAAACTCTCGCCAAGTCGCAGATCCGATCCGGAAAAAGGGAGGTGAGAGGACAACTATAATGTTAGAGGGAAAATTAGGAACGATTGTGGGGCCCCTTTGGAGGATCCCAAACCTAATTAACACATGCTATCGCACTTCCCCACAAATCCTCGCCCCAAGCCAGCACAAAAACAGTGGAAAATTGCAATTTAAAAAATAATTATGAAAATGTCTGCTGTGAAAATTGCTGGCAGGCAGCGGCATCGGCAGCTTCAGAAGGCGCTAAATGTTAATGAACATTATAAAAACAATTGCGAGTAATTATAATTTGAATGATAATAGCGAAACTTCTTAATCCCCGCAACGGTAATTTTTATCACTAAGGGGGTAGCCCTTTTCCCCTTTCGTTTTCCCACTTACAAAAGACTCGGAGACAAAAGCGGAAAACGTGAAAAATGCATATTAAAGGATGCCGTTCCGAAAGGAAAACGCCGAGCTGCTATTGTAATTACGTTTTCAAAGCGAAATGAAACCTCAACAAGAAGCGCGAAAGCCGATCTGAATCAAAGGGAAAAAGGGCTGCGGCGGGAAATCCGCATAAATAATTCGGCGGGGAAAATAAGAAGCTCGGGAATGTCGGACGCTGCGGAAATGGATTATACTTAAGCCATATTCAGCTCATGAACCAAAGAGTACCGATACGAGAACAATGGCAGAGGTAGAGGATGGCAAAGGTAAACAAAAGAGGTAAGTCGAAATAATATAAAGCTAGAAAGAAAAGCTGAAAATTGGATCCGACTAAAAGAGTCAACAAATAAAAGGTTTAGAATATGGAGAGTTAGATAGTTTCAGGTATATCTTCTTGGCTCAAAAGTCTTAAATTGGATTATCGAATCAGCTATATACCTACAAAAAATCTTTTAAAAGGTATTAGGTTGGTTTACAACTTGTTAAGTTTGGGGTCCCAAGTCAAGAAGTATGCAGTTAAAAAACGTATTTTTCGAATATATTGTTGCCTACTTTTAGACATCTTTATAAGTGATTTACTCTGGGGCTTTCACTATGAGCCTGGATAGTAATTAGTTTTTAACCTATTTAACAGTCTTTACCTATAAAAATAACTATGTACCTACAAAAACTTTATAAAAATTTATAAAAGTAGTTGGTACTGAAACTTGTTTGTGTTAGGGTTGCCTTGCCTAAAAGTATGCAGTAAAAACTTTTTCGAATGTATTGTTGCCTACTTTTAGACACCTTCTTAAGTGAGTTTTCTGTATAAACCTTAATATCATTTGGTATGTATTACCTATATAGAGGACTTAAAGCATCGCTAACTCATAATAATGCAAATGAGTGTGCATCTATAACACTGGTATTCAAAATACCCCCAACTACTCCTTCGGCTCCTCGAACTCATCTGTTTATGCGTGAAACTGTCGAAGCATCATGAAAATTAATTCTAATTTGCAACTCCGCCCGGAATAACCACACGCCCACAGCCGGACGTGGAGCTCATCAAGCCTTCGCCGCCAGAGACTTGCCCACTTTGCAGCTAATTATTCAGATGAAATAACTCAGGGGAAGGGAGAACTCAACGCAACGTTGAGGGAAAAAAATCGAGGCCAAAGAAATTCGCTGCGAAAAATCAAACAACGAAATTGCTGCTTGCAATTTCTCGTCACGTTCAAAACTTAATTAGTACATCAGACCATCAACGCGGCCGAGATGCGGCTAAAAGCTGGCTGGAAGGAAGAAGGGCCGAAAGTGAAGTCCTGCGGAGGCTGGGGCTGTCATAAGGACGTCATGTTTCTTAATTAGTTCTTTGTTATCATAACTTCGGACTTCTGGGTGGCTGGACGCTTCATTAACACGGACTTACGGAGCCCTGTCTTAATGAAGAAAAATCGATCGTCTAGAAATGGATCAATTCGTCTTAGCGTTGTCTCATCATATATAGATGAACCCTATATAATTCAAAACTAATTTTTTTAAACTCCATAGATCTTGAAAAGTTCTTTTTAATGTGCAAAATAAAAGAATCTAAAATAATTCTATAATTTTTTAAATCTGAATGCATTACATTTGATATTTTTTAATTTTAATTAAATTTCTTTGGATGATTTTCCCCTATGACAATTTTGTTGTTATAAAAATAATTTATAATGTAATTGTTTTTCCAAGTTCTTCCTATTTACTATATTTTTATTTCCGGAACACAAGCTATATTTTTCTCTATGTAATCCCTTCCGCTTGAAGATGTAACCTGCATAGAGGATGATTTCCAGGCCAACCAGTTCACCTTGAGCCCGCCCCCATCTGGGATCAGTTTCGATGCGGATTGTCAGCGGGGTGAGGGACCAGGTCCCTAGGAGGTGGTCCGGGAAATCCCTGCCCGGGGGCACACCGCTCCATTCTGCACATATTCCGGCTCTTGGCATGCCGCACACGTAGAAGATTTCCGCACGAATTCGCAAAGCAACTCTTGATCCCTTTGACTCAACCGGCGACATGTTTTCTTTGCCATTCTCTTTGATGTTTACAAATTACACCGAAAGTTGGCAAACAAATTTTCTTATTCACTTTTTCCCGAGTGCACACAATGAAATGGGCAAGCCAAACCGAAACGAAACTAAACTAAACTAAACCAACGGATTGGCACTGGGCCGGGGGGATTGGATTGTTGGATTGCCGGATTGCTAGATTTCTAGATTTCTGGCTTGGGGTAAACGTTGAGAAATGCCGGCGAATGTGCCAAGTGAAATTGCGACCAAGAGACAATATTGTGTAAATACATTTACATTGCATTCTTGAGCGTTGGCCAAATACGAAAACTTTTCGAAATTGATTTACCAATTGGATTTGCAGGCGATTATAATAGAAAAACCAACCCCTACTAAGAGTTTCTATTTCTTTCATTGAATGTTTTGGATTGTAAAATATATGTGGATGTAATTACAGATTTTTAAAGAATATCAAAAAAAAATGCCTTAAAGTATGCAGTAATATATTTTTAGTCCAGCTTCAATTCCGAAAGGGAACGATATCTTTTTACTGCATACTTTTAGGCACCCTACCCTTATTAGTAATTTCAAAACAAAAGAGAAATTGTTCTAGCAACTTGCAATGTTCTAAATTTTAAACACCAATAATAGTCTTATTCAAAATGATAAGTACTAATGAAAAAAAACTGAGAAAAAGTCTAGATTTAAGAGCCGTTTCCTATAGTGTATTCAATGAATAACACTGTTTTCGATTGGCCAGCTCACTAGCAGGAAATACTCTGTCTTTGATGCCGGATAAAGGGTCCTTTGACGGGAAAAGCCGGCAACTAAAACAAAAACTTTTTAAATTTCTCCAATTATATTTTTACGCTATGGAAAGTTTGATGCCGAACTGGCTTCGTATGCTGATCTGCATCAGGCCAAAACAAGCAAACACCCCCACACACAAACACTACTCACAAAGCGTAAACTTTCACTACGAGAGTGTGTGAGTGCGAGTGGGTGTGTGTGTGTGTGTGTGTGTGAGGGGAAAGAGATTCCATTTGTGCAAACAACAACGATAAAAACATCTTGAGGTCTAAGGATGAGCCAACTTTTTTGTTCACTCATTCATAAGTTTTTAATTAAATTGCCGTCACATTTCTTTTTTTTATTCCCCTTTTTTGTTTGGCCCAAACAGAGATCCTTTCTTTTAATGAAGCCGACGTTGATGTCTGATAGGGTGTGTGAAAGGGTTTCAAAGGGAGTTTAATATTTAATAGGGGAAAACTAGATGGCAGATATCCCAGCTAAAGAGTGATGCAAGTTAAGAGGGAAAAGTCAATTTGCTTATAGAAAAAAAAAATAATGCAGAATTACTTAAAATATCATACACCCATTAATGGAAAAATAAAAAAAATTATATCTATCTGAGATTGTTTTCCTTACATCTTAAAAGAATAAATAATTTCAAAATAAACTCTTTGAATCCAAAGCCAAAACCTTTTTGAATCGGTTCACCAATCTTAATTGTTTGCTTTCGCGACTTTGGCTGATGACTTAATGTTTTTGATAAGCGTTTCGTTTTGTTCAATTGAATGGGATTTTTTTTTGGGGGTAGCGGAAAAGAGGAAAATAATTGCACGCGATGTTTACACGAAAGGTGAAAGAAATTTAAGTGAAGGGGCTGCAAGGACAAGGGCAACGTGGGCAATTAAAACCAAGGCAGTTTAGCAATGAACATAAACGTAAATGTTTTTTGCACCCGCTCGTGAAGAAGGCGTTAATAGTATTTACACAGCTGTTAGGATAAGGCCCTTTGACTGCTCATAAAATGAATATCGTTCCTATAGATAAACTGCTGAAATGGTAAAGTTTTTAGACTTTTACTGGATAAGAAACCGTTTAAAAAGGACATATATATTTCTAAAACATTGAAAATAGCAGTACTGCACATCAGTGGAATCCAAATTGATGGGATTAATAGTATAGGTTTTCTTCTGTGCACTTAATCGCGTAATTGAACTGCCACATTTGTCCAACTGCGGCTCGAGTTGACAGCGGGAAACGCATTTGGCTTGGGAAAAAGTGAAAAAAAATGGAAAAAGTGGGTGGAAAACCGCCTTACCATCGCCAACCAACTGCATAGTACAGTATACCAGTACGTAAACCGGCTGAATCCAATCCGTTTGGCTGACGGCTCAATTGTCAGTGCCATCAATCACGTGATTGACATTTGGGTTAGCATTTTGAGAACTTGCAGTTCGATGTTGTAACCCAGGCTGAAATGCTGCCGAAATGCCCCCAGTAAGCCGGAGATCCGCAAGAGGAATTGGAATGGAGAGAAATTAGCAGCATAACCGGATTTCAAATTTTCCAAATGCAAAGTATTTTCGAATTCCAGCTGAAATCCTTAGCCTGATCCTGAAAGCCCCCCCTCCCCCCTCTCGTGCCGATGGCCATGGGCTATTTCCGTGGCCCAGACAATGGACAAAGGCGAAAAGCCAAAAGAAAAGGCGGCCAACAAAAGAGGGTAAGGGAACCATGGCAAAAACCGTATGGCCAAAATGGATAAGCTTCCAGTGCCCAAGCCATTTTCGCAACCGGTCCACCCCAATCCACATCCTTCCTGGTCCTTGCTTTTGTGCAAAAAAAAGCAGAGGAGAACAGAACAGAACTCACAGAAAAGAAAAGAGAAGGACGAGGGAGCAAAAAGTTTTGGGGGGGACCAGCGAGGCGCATCCTCTGGGGGTGACTTAAATAAAATTTGTTGATTTTATTGAAAAGTGATGATGTGTCAAATTTTTTATCGCATTACCAGAGCGCGCGGCTCTTATTTTGCTTTTAACCTTGCCATTTGCATAAAATTCGCATTGAATAGACACATTAGCATTCTTAATGGCGTGACCGCTGGAAGTCATTTGGTATCCCCTCGCCATCACCATCACGCCCTCCAAATTTATCAATGCCGAACACGTTTGGGTTGCCAAAGGTCCTGGACTGGACCCGGAACTTAGGGAATCCCCTACCTTCCTGGATTTCCAAGCCCCTAAGCCAAGGAAAAAACCCAAACCCCAATCCCCCGTTCAAACTGAAGCGCATTCACTGAAGTGACAAGTGAGCAATATGTCTGGATCGCTTGTTGGGTTGGCTTTCTATACTATAAGTATAAGTATAGGGGGAATTTTTGGGGTCTTGCACTGATTTTTAAGACAAATTGAACAGCGTGTCAAATGGCCCGACTCGAGTTCAGTTTTTTGCTTGTTTAGTTTCTGGGATAGTTGAATGAATTATGTGCTAAAGAAATTTATAGTTCATTGGTGACGCTTGAATTGTCGCTTATCTGTTGACCAAAGGAAAAGTGATTTTTTTTATAGGGGAAGGGTCTTAGGGGAATTGAAAATAAAAGCTAGATAATATGTGTATGACATTCTATAATTAATTATTTTTAAAAAAAGGTTATATCCATATCCCCTATAACAAATTTAAGTTGCAATAAATGGGATGCCCCAAACGAGGAACTCCTGACACCATTTGGTACTCAATTTCTCCCTTGGCGGTCATCTGGCCAAGGCCTAAATGAGGAGAAATGCTTTTGCATTAGAGCGCATCCCGGCCATAAATAACATGACGTTTCATTAGCCTGGCGAAATGAAAAGCTATGATCGCCTAGCCAGCTGCCAGAGACAATCAAGGGAGTTATTCGGGCCAACTCCCAGTTACTAATGCCCCACTGGGACAGCAGGGGGAAATGGTTTAGGAACTAAAGTATTATTCGATAAAAAATAAATAAATAATGTATTTAGTATCTAAGATCCTAAAAAAAATTATTTAAATATTAAATCATAGTATTCTTTTTTTTAAATGTATTAAGTATGAAAGATCCTTACTAAAATTTCTTTAAAAATAAAGTAATATATTTTTCTGATATTTATAAGACGGTGGTATTTTTCGTTGAATCTTTTCAGGTTCTTTGAAAACCTGTAAGTAGTATGTACTAATTTCTTGAGGACAGCTGTATGCGTGTGAGTTTTCCGGGCAGCTGTCGGCACAGGTGTTTTAATCACGGTGAGCTGGGAGTCCCATCCCTTCGTCCTGCGTCCTGGGTCCTTCGTCCTTCCTCCCACCTCCCCCGCCGCAGAGCGTATAAATTTTCATTTCCATTTTCATGGCTCAACGCTGTAAGGAGGCCCAGGACCACGGTTTGCCATTTGCCATTTGCCTTTGTCGCTTTTTATTGCCTGCACTTCATTTGCTACGCAATTCGGACCCGAGGCGAGGCTCTTCTGCTTCTGCGGATCCCAAAAAAGTACTCATAAAGCGAGTTTTGGGTTAGACGACCGCAGAAAGTTAATTAGAATTAATGCGCCGGGCTGGCCCAGAATCGCATTTAAGTGCAGCGGCAGCCGGGGCCCTCGGTTTTCTCTATATTATATGTTTACATTTAAATGCCAATGGGTTTCCGGTGGAGAGCGAATGGACGGATGGTAGGATGGCAGGACGAGACCGGCGCCATTTGCCAAAATGGTGTGCAATAATCATTTCGGTGTGTGCAAACAGGCTCACGTAGTCGTCATCGTGACGCTCTGGAGGGCCAAATAAGAGCCAAGTAAGGGCGAAATATTAAAATCTAACATTCACAAAGTCACGAAGCGCCAGCGACACCAGCAGCAACCACAACAGCAATAATAACACAACACAACACCACACCACACCAGCCAACAAAAACAGGGGCCGGAGAACTGCCACAACAATGCTAAGCAAATAGACAAAGTAATGAAAAAAATTCTCAAACTTGAAAACGCCTCGGGGGGTTCGAATACTCAATACCGCAAAATAGGGTTAGGAAAAAAGTATTGGATTATTAAAGTATTTATTGGCATAAACAAATATATTGTATTGTAATAGAAAAGTAATTATTTTAAATTGTTATTTAGGCATAGACTTTTATTTAGGTTCGAATATTCAATACCACAAAACAAGGCTAGGAAAGAAATCTTGGAACCAAATTTTTTTATGAGCTTAAACAAATATATTGTATTGT